TCTGGAGATGGAGACCAGTCTGGGCAATATAATAAGACCTTTTTATTTATTTTTTTTTTTTTTTTTTTTGTCTTTTTCCTTTTTATCGGTACCGGGGATCGAACTCACGACTGCCTGCTTGCAAGGCAGGCGCTTATGCCGCTGAGCTGAATCCCCAGCCCCAATAAGACCTTTTTAAAAACACAATTGTTTCTAGGCATTTAATAATTTTTGCTTTCAGAATTCCAAATGGGTCTGCCCATTCCTATTTCCAATTAGGCGGTACAGATTAATGCTACAGATTTTTCTCTAAGTTTATCTTATGTCCTGTCAAGCTCCAAATTTTCTTATTAATCCTAATGTATTGTTTTAGTATAGTTTTCTTGGTATATAAGCACATCATCTGCAAATAAGAAAATTGCTTTTATTTTTTTCCAATATTAACAGGTGATTTTTCTTTATGTTGTTGTTTGTTTGTCTTTTTCCTTTTTATCGGTACTGGGAATCGAACTCACGACCACCTGCTTGCAAGGCAGGCGCTTATGCCGCTGAGCTAAATCCCCAGCCCCTAACAGGTGATTTTTCTTTCTGGGACTATCATACTGTTAAGACTATAAGCCAGGTGTGGTAGCCCAGGCCTGTGATCCCAGCACATGGGAGGTGGAGGCCATAGGAGATTGCACGTTTGGGTCCAGCTTGGAAACTTAGTGAGGCACTGACTGAAAAAAAAAGAAAAAACAGTGGGAGGTGAAGGCCTCCGTGCAGGTTCCAGTACTGCAAAACCAAACAAAACCTCGGGACTGGAAGGATCACTCAGTGGAAGAGCACTTTTTTGTAATGTGTAAGGCCCTGGGTCTCTCCCCAGCATAAAAAAAGGGGCAAACTATTAATACTATTAAATGATACTATTAAATACTATTAAATGATAGTGATGATGGGGTATTCTTGACCCATATTTTAAACATGAGTGCTTTATCAGTTTTTTGTTTGTTTGTTTGTTTGTTTTTGAGATAAGGTCTTGCTATGGAGCTCAGGCCTGGGACTCGCAGCCACCCTCCTGTCTCAGCCTCTCAAGTGCTGGGATTACAGATGTGTACCCCACACCCAGACTGTTTTCCTATTTTTTGTTGATAATTTTATTGTATATGAATAGATACCTCATATTACTTAGGCCTTTTATTTAGCAGACTGTTTTTGAGACCTTGGGCTGGAAAAGATACTTCAAAGCAAGACAAGAAACCTAGAGACCACACAGCAAAAAAAAAAAAGACATATTTCACACACACACACACACACACACACACACACACACGGAAGCAGAAGATACTATAACAAAGACTAAGGTCAAACTTTAAAGCTAAAAGAGGAGAAAAATATTGGCAACCCATTTTACACAATTTCTTATCTCAATATATAAGAAGCACTTACAAATGAAGATCAACCAAGCAATTTCATAAGAAACAAGCAACAGACCTGAACAGGCAACCTTTAAAAGAAGAAATTAAATAATAAATAATAGACTTTTTAATCTTTTGTGGTACTAGGGGTTAAACCCAGGGCTTCCCAAAAGCTAAGTAACAGCTCTACCTGTGAGCTGCATGCTCAGTCCAGAAGTTAAAATGTGTAATTAAAACAGTGCAAGTGCAAATGTACACGTTAAAACAGTGAGACACAGTGACAGTCTTCACCTTGCCTCTTGATCACTACTGCAAACTTCAATAAAATCCATGTCCCGAGAGGCTGCAGCTTCCCTAGGGGCAGGTGGATACTGTAATCCAGTATGGCAGTGTCTCCGGGAATTTAAACATCCGTTTCTCAGTTCTGCTTTTGGAAACCTACTCCACAGAGAGAAAAGTTCCGGTTCCAGGATTATTTGTATGAAGACATTCAGTCCTGCTGGCAGTGGTAAGAGGCTAGAAACAGCCTGAACGTCCACCATAGGTGAGTACTGAAGGAAATGAAGCTTTCTACTATGGAATTTTACTTAGGTATTAAAATGAATAGAAAAACGCCTCTACCTAGTGGTCTTCGAGACTGCTCATTTTCTTTTAAAAACAGTAACAGGAAAAAAGCAACAGCATTGTAAGGGCCTATTTATTTTGTTGCTTGATAAAAGCAAAACAAGAATTTAAATGTCTAGAGTAGATACATGGTTAAAGTGTAAAAGGGGTTTGGAATGATGGCAAGTCCGGAGATGATTATGTTTCTTTTCTTTTGTTTAAGACAGGGTCTCACTATGCAGTTCAGGCTGGCCTTGAACTCACTATGCAGTGTAGGCTGGCCTGAATTTGCAGAGAATCTCCTGCTTCAGCCTCCTGAGTGCTGGGAGTACAGGCATGTGCCACCCCACCCGGTGAGATTATTATTTTTCAAACACTGTTGAATTATTTAACTTGTGTTCTTGTATAATTAAACATTAACAAACGTGAAAGGAGGAAGAAAAGGAACCAACTTCAGAAACATTAATACAGCCACCCTACGGCTCTGCGGATGGAAAAGTTCCTGGCCTCTATTTATTGATCACCCTTCCTCTTCCAACAGAAATGGGCGAGGCCAGGATGTGGGGAGGGGTTGGGCGCTGTGATGCCTGAACCCTGGGACTGCGAGGCAGAAGGAGAGGAGGAGAAGAAGGCAGAGACAGTCTGAGAGAGCTGGCAGGTGGGCTGGTGACGGGATCACTCCAGGAGCTGCCATCGTGAGTCCCGAGGATGCCGCCCCTGAGCTCCCTGGAAGGCTGGAGCAGAGGATTTTAACAGTCTCCAAGGATCTGCTGGACCCAATGGAAACCCTCCACCGGCCTCCTCCAGCAGCTGCTGGACCAGGCGGGTGGCTCTCATTCATTCGTTCACTTATCTGATAGGCTGAACCCACACTGGGTGCTAAGAAACCTGTCTATGGGGAACAGACATGGTCCGCGTGGCACTTCTTTGGTGGTGGGGAGGGGCCCCTGAGGGCTGTCACTGTGTCCTTGAGCTCAGTCAGGGCTGAATGTGGCACTGGGAGGGCTGTGCTTATCAGACAGGTTTAGGCTGGATCCTGGCTGGAGCACTGAGGTGGGCTGGGGCTGGAGGAAGGGAAGCCACTCTCAGGGCTGGGAGGTCATCACGAGGCGCTCCGTGGGCAGGGGCATGGTCAGGCCTAGTGACGCCTAACCCTAGCCCTAGCCCCAGCCCTAATCCCAGCCTTAGAACCGGCCTAGAAGCAGCTCAGAACAGTGGCACTCCTTGCCAGCCTGGAACCGTGGCTTCCTGGAACAACAGTGCTCTCTGCCCTCCTGGCCTCCTCAGGCCCCGCCACCTGCTCTTCTCCTTTGGCCCAAATTCAGCCCCGCCCACCCCCAAGGCACCACATCCTGGTGCCTCCCTCTCACTGTGGGTACAGATGTCCTCTCAGCTGCCACAAGCAGCTCGGCTGCCAGCCCTGCCAGTCCTGCTGCTTGTGGGCTGAGCACACTGGGTCCTGGAGGAGCACAGGGCTCAGAGGCACGGGGTGGGGTGGCTATGACCCAGCGCCTCACGTGGAGAACAAGGTCACTGGAGGGAGCCTCCATGGTGCAGGCTCAGCTAATGAACAGTGTGGAAGTGCGAGGGGCCACGGCCTCCTCCGCCGTGTAATTAAAAGGCCATCTGTGTCTTCGTGGCTGCGGAGCAGGCAGGGGCGCAGCTCTGGCTGGGGCCTGCGCGTGGCTGTGTGGAGCGTGTGCACACACACTGATGTGGAGCAGATGGGGCGGCGATGGTGCCCTGGAGTGGGCACTGGGATGGCAGCTGCTCACACAGCTCTCAGGGCCTCTCCTCAACACATCACAGATTGCAGCCACCCCACCCTGGTGCAGCGGCTCGTGTTTCCAAGGCCACATCTCCTCGTTTGGTCTGAGGGATGGGAGCTACCCTGACAGGGCCTGGGCAGGAGAAAGCCCTGCCTCTGAGGGTGGAAAAGGGACAGGATGGAAGACGGCCACTTCCCCGGGGCCGGCAGACAGAATCAGGCGGGCGAGGCTGTTGCAAAGACAGCTGAGTGAAGCCGAGGAAAAACACCCCGAGCTGAGCAGCAACGCCAGTTTGGTCTGGAAAGGTCACTCTGGACTTTTACCTTCTAGAGGATATGATTTGACAACCTCCAAATTTTTTGGTGGAAACAAGAATTACTCTTGTAATAAGAAAGAAGAGCAGAAATGATGTACAGATAGCAGGTCAGGTCATCAGCCAGAGATGTTCAAAAGCTCCTTGGAAGCAGCTGCCTGGTTTATCATCTTGGGGCCACCTTCCCTAGATGGGCCATCATGGCATTGAGCCCTTCATGCCCCTGACTCTGGTCTCACTGAGGACCTTCAGACTCAGGAATCGTGGATACCTCAGGGCAGAAAGAACCAGACCCTGGAGGGCAAGGGCCTGGCTTTGGACTCCAGCTGTATCACACTCCAGCTCTTCTGTTCTCTGAGCCTCAGGTTCCTCATCTGTACAATGGGGCTATTAATTTCCTACCTCGTCTATCCTCTTGAGACTGCTGTGAGACCAGGAGCTCTGGAAAAGTATAAATAACGATGTATCATGAGAGCTACGGAGGACCCTCTGCAACACTAAGCACCATCTCGTAACACTGGACACAGCATCCGCCAGCTCATTAGGACCAAGGGAGCCAGGAGTCCTCCCTCCTGAGACTCAAGGCAAGCAGCAGAGGCCGGTCTGGGAAAGATGTGTTTTGCATCTCACAAAACCCTTCTGTTGATAACCTGTCTTCAAAAATCTAGGACAGTGCTGTTCTTGGGGGTCCTGCCCCACATTAATGCTTTTATGGGACCCTGCCCGCAGAGACCTTCTCCCCACGTCTCTACATACAGCCAGCGACTACTAACCCAGAGGCAGAGCCGCTCTCCTGCTCAGAAGCAGGTGGGAGGCCAGGGGCACAGGGACGGGTGAATGTGAGGTGAGCCCCAGAGGGGTGGGGACCGGGCTCCATGTCCACAGGCGACAAGCCTATCTTCGGAGCCATCTGGGGAGTCAGGGGCAAACAGGTCTTACCTCTGCTCCGAGCCCACGTGTAGATGCGGCTGGTCTCAGTGCTTCTGGGCTCAGGCTCTGCTGGCTCCGCAGAAAAAGGTCGGAAGCGGGGGTCATCAGCTCGGCCAGGGCTCTTCAGGGGCAAGATATACTTGGGGAGCCCTTTGTAGAACCAGGCCCCCGACCTCTTCCAGACCTGGTGGGAGCAGGAGACGTCTGCTGAGAGCGAGCACAGGACAGACCAGCTCGCCCCACACTGTGTGCCCTGCCGCTTCCCAGCCGTCCTTCCCACCAGCCAGGGGGCCTGGAAGGAGGATTCCACTTCTGTCCTCCCTGGCCGAAGGACACAGGACCGTGGAAGAGTCCTGGGTGCGACAGCTTGAGCCACTGGTGGTACAAACAGATCTAATCACTTTTATCAGTCTTTTTACTAATTAAAAAAAGGTCTATAAAAGGACCAAATCTAGCTAGTTGCTTAAATCTGAATTACTGACCAAATTTAAATATCAATTAATATAACTCATACTAATTAAAATTTATAATAATCAACAAATTTAAGAAATTTATTTATACTTGTGAATTTAACACTTGTTTATTGATTGATTTATTTTGAGACAGGGTGTTACTGTGTAGTTTAGGCTGGCCTTGAACTCACTATGTAGCTCAGGCTGGCCTCAAACTCAGCGATCCTCCTGCCTCAGCCTCCCAAGTGCTGGGATTATAGGTGGACAGCCCATGCCTGGCTTGCATTACAGTTTTTTATACTACTTTAATGTTTCCCTTAAGGAACTGTAATATGATGACATCTGTTCTGTTAGATCAGCGCCTTTATTTGCATTACTAGATCAAAGACCCCCTGAGAAGCAGCACAAGTCTCCTGATGGGCCAGGCAGCTTACACCAGAGCCACCTGGCAGTGAAACAGGAACTAAAGCCCCCTCATACCCCCCATTCTTCTCTTCAGAGTGGGGCTGCAGGGGCCGAGCAGGTTAAAGTGGGGGAAGTGCATGCAGGAACTGCTACTGCCCCCTCAGTCCCCTCCAGCCACAGGGGCCTGGAGATGGCCTTGTGACCAGCTCTCTCCTGGCCCAACCCTAGTTCCTTGCAGCCGCTGCAGGTGACCTCTGGTGCCTGCAAGACAGAGGAGAGTACAGAGCTCCGTGGAGTCCCTGACAGCCGTCCCTGTGCGAGGCTGGGTGTTCTCACTGCGACCACCTCACCTGCACCGAGTCTGGCTGTGGGACCCTGGGACTCAGGGGACCCTCGGCATCCTATCAGCCCGAGCATGGTCACTTGGGCTCGACCCTGCCTGCTTCTCCACACAGTGAATTTCTTCCCGATGATCAAGATAACAGTACTTGCTCAGGAGGGCTGCTGAGTGCGTTCTCCAAGAGCACTCAGCATAGCACCCAGGAAGTGACTGACAGATGCCACCTGTCTGTCTGCTGCCCATCTCTCTTTCCCCTCAAGGCTCTGGGCCAAGTGACAAGAGGCTTAAGGAATTTTAGCTGGGCCACATCACTGTAATTGGAAACTGCCTTGGTGGCTTCTGCAGCGGACACAAAAAGGACGGAATCTTAGACAGCCTCAGATTAGAATTCAGAGCAGCGGCCGAGATAAGGTCCCTAAACTCTTAATGCCTACTTCAGAAAACACCAAGTGCTCCGTCATCCCTTTCCCCCCATGCAGGAAATACGCTCAGGGCCTCCAGGAAGGCAAGCTGAGAGGGTGGGGAGGAGCGAGGTCACTTTGTCAGGGAAGAGCAGGCCTCCGCAGTCCTGAGCAGACTTTACCCGTGTTTGAACCCTGGGTCTGTCACCTTCAGATTCGTGACATTTGCATGTGTCACCCTCTGTGGCCCTTGAGTTTCTTCACCGGAAAGGTGGGGGGGGAGACATGAGGATCAGACCCAGAAACAGATGTGAAATCCAGGGCCCAGAGCAGCCACCCACAGACTGACCCTTCTGACCACTGGTGTGATCTTCCTTCTGTTTGACAAACAGGGCCACTTTATCACCAAGGGGTAATCTCAGAAGACCAGAGTCAGCCCAATTCCCTCTAAGACAGGACTTCCACTTTCCAAATGTCTTTGGCATTCACGCCAAAGGGCCAGGCCAAATGAGAGAGAGACAGAGAGACAGGGACTCAGAGACACTGATTCCTGATAAGGTTCACAGAAGTCCCTACTTGAAATCTGTCTGTCTGGTTTTCTGGGTCTTTTCTGTGTCTGTTGAAGAGACTCAGTCCTGCTAGTAAGTCTGCATAAGCCCAGCACTTAACCGCTCAGCACTGACTGAACAATATGCACCTGTTTCTCCAAGGAGCCAGTGGTCACCTCTAGGTTCCAGAATGCAAGGCTTGGGATTGCCAAGTCCAGGCCACGCCTTTGGCACCAATAGTTCCCTGCTCCTTTCAGCAACCCTGTGCAGCTGGGCTTGATGCTGCACGGTTCTTGAACAGCACAGACCAATAGCACAAATGCTACCTGGTGCGTGCTCTGGGAGGCCTCCTACAACCGTCTGGCACCAAAACTCATGTTGAAACTTGGTCTCCACTTCATATGTTATTGGGATTTGCAGACAATAAGGGTGGGGCCCAGGAGTGGTATCAGTGGTTCAGAAGAAGAGGACAAGAGACCAGGAGAGCAGGTCACACCCTCTGGTCTCCTTATGGTCCAGCAAGAAGGCCTCCCCTGATGCTGGCGCCACATTCCTGGGTTCCCGGTGCCCGTGAGCTAAGTCAAACGCTACCCTTCACCAGCTGCTTCTCTCAGGAATTCCGTTAGGATGGAAATGAACTATGTAGTAATGTGATGTCTTAGTCACTCTCCTTGTCACTGGCACACAACAGCCGACACTTGCAACTTAAAAAAAGCGAGGTTTATTTTTGGCTCCTGTTTTTTAGAGGTTTCAGGCATGGCTAGCAGGCTCGCACAGAGAAACACCCTGAAAGGCCCTGCCCTGGAGGCAAGCAGCAAGGACACAGCAGCCAGCAGGCAGAGGGCTCCTCCCGCCTCCTAAACCATGGCAGCTCTGGGGTCCCCAAAGTTGAATCACCTTCCAAAAGCAAGCACGTGTCTAAAATCCACAAAGTGCAAAGATGAAGTCTCTTCCTTACTTCTTACAGGCACTGACTGGTAGTAGTTTTTCAAGGAAGGGTTGGTATTATCCCCACTTTCCAGATGGGAAAATGGAGGCTGGAACAAGTTGAACAACTTGCCCATAGTTAGCACACTGTTGGCATCTAGTCCACCCTGGAGGCTTCTGGTCTTGCCCAACAGTTTACAATACAAAGCAGCTGCTTCCTGACTGGATGTGTCTTCACTGGTCAGACAAGACTCCCAGGCTCAGTGTCCTACAAACTAGATGCCCAAAGGGGAAAGAGGGAGGTGAACGCAAGTAGAACCACCAGGATAGCCTCTGCATGGCCCGAGAACAGGTGTCTGATCCAAGTTCAAGGACCCTCGCGCCAGGGATACCAGGTGAGAGGCTCACTCAGGTCCCCCTCTGCTGAGCAAAGGCCTGCGGAACTGTGGGTGCAGCTCTGCCTGCCCTGCGCTGGTGCTCCAGTGCTCTGTTCTCCAACATGGACTGGGGCTGCGGCTCAGCTGAAGCCACCACTGAATTTTTTTTTGTGGGTACTGGGAATCGAACTGAAGACCTTGCACTTGCCAGGCAGGCGCTGCACCACTGAGCTAAATCCCCGGCCGCTGAAGCCAGCACTGAGCGCCTCTGCAAGCAGGGGGTCGCGTGCAGGCTTAGGCCCATGCCACTCTGTTTCCCCGACCCCACCAGAGAAACAGCTTTGTTTTTTTTTCCCCCCCAAGAAATATGTACATAGCATACAAAACTAGGACAATAACAACAAAGAAAATGCAGAAACTACAGGCTGCATGTCACACTGCTACACAGAGACTGCTACACAGAGAGCTCTGCTGAACACTGCGGGATGTGCTTCCTCCCACCCTTTCCTGGGCAGACGCACGGTTTTTTCTTGTTTGAAAAACAAGGTAAAGTAGCTTCACCTTGTTTCCCCTACGTCCACTACATGTCATAGCAATTGCTCTGTGTTAATAAGCAATGGTCTCCACCGTCATTTTTAATGGCTCCACGGGTGAGATTTATTGAACGTAATTAATCCAGGCCCCCATGATGGACAGTGAAAGTACTTCCAGTCTCTTTCTCATGAGCTGTGCCCCAGCCAACATCTCTGCGAAGACGCGTACATCCCCAGACACTAGTTGGCTACCTCCCCAGGAAGGGGAACTGCCAGGTGGAGGGGTGGTTACGTACCTACGTGATGATGCAGATTGTCAGACCACCCTCCAGGGATGGAAGTCACACTCCAGTGTGGCACAAACGTGTCCTCGTGTTACACTCAGGAGTCATGGTTTTGTGGGCTGGTGGCTTAGGAGAGGCATTTGTCAGGCCCCCAGGTCCCCAGAGCTGGGTGCTATAAGAACAGCCATGGGGATGACAGAGCTGAGCACAGGGTCCCAGCTCAGTGACCCTCATTTCAAGGCCTGCTGTGTTTTCCCTTGGTCGTGCAGGACCCTGGGCCTGGCTCACAAAAGTGCACGTTCTTTTTGAAAAAATAATCCTTTTAATATTTTATATTTTTTTAAAATATACAAAACAAAATTGACTGCTTAGCCATATTTTACTTTCTGTGGTACTTGAGACTGAACCCAGGGTCTGTGCACTGAGCTACATCCCAAGTCCTTTTTTCATTTATTTTGAGACGAGGTCTTGTTAAGTTGCTCGGGCAGGGTTCAAACTTGCAATCTCTCTGCCTCGGCCTCCCAGCATGCTGGGATAACAGGCATGTGCCATCATGCCTGGGTCTCATTTTTAACTGTAGAGTACAGCAGTGTTAGGTACACTCACATTGTGGTGTGGCCAATCTCTAGAACCTTTTTAATCTTGCAAACAAAAACTTTACCTATTAAACAATAGCACATTCGTTCAGCCCCCAGAAACTACACTGCTGCCTTGCATTTCTATGAGCTTGCATTTCTATGAGCTGGCCTATTCTAGCTTCCTTGCATAAGCACTCAGCACAATGCCGTGAAGGTTCCTCTAAGCTGCGGCTCGGTCGGACGGAACACCCTTCCTTTTTGAGACTGAAAATGATTCCAGTGTGTGGATCCCATTCACCCACTGTGAACACCGGGCGGCGTCGACCTTTTCGGCTGCTC